CAAATGTAAAAGCCTAGAGAATGTGCTGATGGGCTTCAAATGTGACAGAAAAGAAAGGGAGCAGTCAAGGATTGCCCCAATATTTGGGGGCCCGAGGAAGAGGAAGAATGGGCGGGGCCTCAGCAAGGACTGGATGGAAGCTGCCTTCCCAGAGCTGATGCACTGTGTTTTAGTCGTGTGGTCAGCATGCTCTGCCTATGATGATGCCATCATCATGTACTTCACCGTTGAGCTGTCTCCTCACCATGACAACCTCAAGGAGCCACTTGTCCCCCCTGCAACCTTTAATCTGCCACACAAGGCAACCCTGGTCCTCTTTTACTCCAGTGGCCAAGGGAGTCTCTCTCTCTCACCCACACACACCTAGCTGAGGAACTACTGGCAGTTGGTGGCTTCTGAGGGAGGCAAAGCCAGTTTTACAGCCCATGACCTTAACAGGGAGAACACACTCCAGCGGACAGCCCTACGCCCATGATTGCATGGCTGGCTCAAATTAGACTCAGTGGGTAATTGTAAGAAAGAAACAAGGTTGGGAGGAAGTAGAGAGTGAGGGTGGGTCTGGGAGGACTGGTTGTGTGTGCTGGATAGTTTTATGTCAACCTGACACAGGCTAAAGTCACCTGAGATGAGGGAACACGGTTAAGAAAATGCCTTCATAAGATCGGGTTATGAGATGGCCAGTATGGCCTTTTCTTAATCAGTGATTGATGCTTGAGGGCCCAGCCCATTGTGGTGGGGCCATCCCTGGGCTGGTGGTCCTGGGTTCTATAAGAAAGCACACTGAGCAAGCCAGTAAGCAGCACCCCTCCATGGCCTCTGCAGCATCTCCTGACTCCAGGTTCCTGCCCTGCTTGAGTTCTGGTCCTGACTTCCTCTAAAGATAGCCTACAATGAGGAAGTGTAAGCCAAACAGTTTCCTCTCCAACTTGCTTTTTTTTTTTTTTTTTTTTTTGGTCCCGGCGTCTCCTTGCAGCAATAGAAACCGTTCCTAAGTCATGGGAAAGAAGAGAATATGATCACAGTACATTGTATGCGTGTGTGAAACCCTCAAGGAAGTAATACAAATAATATATTAGAAAAAAAAAAAAGACTAGTCTGGGAGGGTGGTGGGGTCACATGGCAGCTCTGCTACTTCTGTTTTGAGGAACCAAAACAAGCCCATTTTCTGCAGTGGCAGTCCTAGCAGGGTGATTAAGGTCCCTCTTTCCCGTGGTCCACGCTAAGGAGTCCGCACTCTTAGGACAGCAGGCTGTGGTCGGGCGCAAGAAACCCTCGGCTAAGAACACAAAGGGAAAGGGAGACAGGTCACAAATGCCATGCTGGGCTTACCAGAAAGCAAAACTCAGGTGAGGAAGACATCACACCCCAGGGTCAACCGCCCTCTCTGGGGTGTCTGCGTGCAGGCACCGGACGTTGTCCCATTCCCCGGCCACCCCCTCCATCCCTGCCTTCTCCCCGACCCCCAACCACCAACACCATGGGACAATTCTGCTTTGGGAAAAATTGCGGTAATGGTGTGTAGATGAGATGATTTACCTTGTCACCACTGGGGCCACTGGAACTAAGGACGCCACTTAGTGTACATTCATGGGGTTGCTCAGTCTCCAGGGCCCTTCCGGAAACTTCTCTTAGGATGGGTAGGCGTGGCAGTGCATGAGGTTTTGGTAGGGGGGCAGAGGCAACCAGATCTCTGTTCTCTGGGAGTCTACACAGGAAGTCCCAGCCTAGCCTGTGCTACAGGGCAAGGCCCTGTCTCCAAAAAAAAAAAATAATTTATTTTATAAGTTTTAATTTTTTTAGGGCTAGTGAAATGGATCAGTAGATAAAAATATGACCTGAATTCAATCTCTGGGACTCATATGGAGGAAGAAGAAAACAGATTCTCAAAGTTGTCACCACCGCCCCTCTCTCTCTCTCTCTCACACACACACACACCATTACACACTTGTGTACATACACAGACACATACACACAATGAATAAATACAAAACAATGTAATTCTCTAGAAATATTTTTTTCTATCGTTCCCTTTGACCTTCCACTTTCACGTTGTTCAAAGGCCCTTCAGGCCTTGCAGAGCCACAGGGAGCCGTGCTGTTAAACGCCTGGGTTCCTCACCCTCTTGTCACAGCATTGGTCTTCAGCAAACTAATGTTCCCAAGCCTGGTTCCTCATCTGAAAATGGCGATATAGTCAGACCTCAGGAACTGTTCTCGCCGAGGTGACAAACGCCTGACAAAAGTGGCTCAAGGAAAGGCGGGGTTTGCTCTGGCTCCCGGTTTGAGGGCACAGTCCATCAATGGTGGGGACACATATGAGGCGCCTGGTCACGTGACATCTGCAGGCAGGAGGCAGAGAGTGAGGACTGCCCCAAAGCTTGTTTCTTCCTTTTAATTCAGCTCACAACCCAGCCCACGGGATGGTGATGACAGTATCCAAGATCTAAGATCTAAGTATCCAAGCTGGGCCTTTGCTTCCCAGCTAACCCTCTCTGGAAACACACCTCACCCGTGGTTGTGTCTTCTGGGTGATTACGCGCAACTTTCTGTACTCCCTGATTCAACAGCAAGCCCCAAAAGTCCAAGAAGGAGGAGCTGAGTTGGGTGTGGGTGTTGCATATGTTTGTAATTCCAGGAAAGGGAAGAAGGAAGATTGGGCATTCAAGGACATAGCATTCAACTACATAGCAAGGAAGTCCTGCCTCAAAGGAGGAAGAGGAGGAGGAGGAGGAGGAAGAGTTCTTTAGTGGATGTGGGAAAAAGTCGCACGTACATTCATGTGAATGTCTGAGTAAACAGACAATACTAACAACCTGAAAATGGAGCTGTCACTCAGATGCGCTTGCTGGCAGTTTAGATGATGTGGATAATTGCTAATGAGCCCCAGCTTGTATCTACCTCTTGCATTAGTGTTTCTTATCTAATGCACTCAGAGATTTAGCTAGAGCCACTTAGATCTTGACAAGAAAATTAGGGGCTGGAGAGGTGGCTCAGGAATTAACAGTGCTTGCTGCCCTTGAAGAGGACCTGAGTTTATACAAAACCACTTGTAACTCCAGCTCCAGTAGATATGATATTATCCTGTGACACACACACACACACACACACACACACACACACACACACACATAAAAGGAAAATAAATTGCAAAAACAAGATTAACCTGATTATCTTGCACAATAAGACAATCTTGTCAGTGGAGAACAAGTATGAACAGGGGAAGGAAGACTACCTTTCTGGGGCTCCTTTAGAACTGTCGATGAAACAGAGAGTTGAGGGTACAAACGGTGGCCTGTTTCTGGAAAGGCGGACTGCTGACCATTGCCCAGGCTTGGAGTCCCATCTCCCAGCAGGCACTCTGAGGGACTTGGGGTTTCCGTGTGGACAGCCAACTCTGCCCCTGTTTGAGTGGGAATGTGGAGATACCTTATAAAAGCCCAAACGAGTAGCAAGTAACACACAGAAGAAGCTTGGGAATTGGGAAGATGGCCAATGGTCTCCACCCAAGGCCCCTCCACATTTCCCGAACGTCACAGAGAGACGGAAGGCTGCAAAGGCACAAGAGCGGGTTTTAGCAGGGGTCATTTGCCAGGCTGACCACCGTCCCTCGTTCCCAGTGCACAGTGCACTGTCAACTAGACGAAACTAGAACGGCCTGGGAGACAAGCTTCTGGGTGTGTCTGTGAAGGACTTTCTAGACTGGGTTAATTGAAGCGGGTGGCACCATTCCAACAGGCTGGGGTCCTGGACGTAATGAAAAGGGAAAGCAAGCTGAGCACGGCCATGACCGTGGCCGTCGTGGGACTGCCTGCCTCAGTGCCACATCATCTCCAACAACACAGGCCGTGTAGCCTCAGACGGCGAGCCAACGCACGCCCTTCCTGCTCTGAGTGGCTTTCCTTAGGTGTTTTGTCACAGCAACGAGACAAGCAAACTAAAGCAGTGCCGGAGAGACAGTCCTTCCCCCAACTCATTGCCCAAACCTTTTTGCTGTGTGAAACCCCACACCGCAGGAATGAAAAACCACTTGCATGGACCGTTCCTCATGCTCTGTGGCTCATCTGCACTCGCTTGCTTTGATCATCTTGGCCCTGTCTCCTACACACACACACACACACACACCACACACTTAAAAATTAAATCAGTTCCACAAGGCAGAAAGAGATGGCAGTCTCAGAGTAAAAGCCATCACCATATTTCCATTTGTCTCACTTTTACTGGTGGCCAAAGGGAGTTACAAGGTCAAGACTCAAGGGGTGACATGAAGACTCCACCTTTTGGTAGATGAAGCTGCGATGTTACATTGTCACTTGTTTTTATAACACTTTTACCCACACTGTTATATAAGAACCAGGCATCATGCTTGGTACCCGGTAGCTAATCGACGATGCTCATTGCAAGAATTCAGAAGTAAAAACCTCCTCAAACGATGTCTGTGACTGCTGCCTCCTGCCCCTGGCTCATCAGCTTGACCTGCCTTTTTGTTGTTCACTGCTGGGTTTCTGAGTTGGGCTAAAACTTAGCGGTTTAGAGAGTTCAGTGCCCTTATTTGTATCACATTCGGTGCCTTTTTACCTGAGCATTTTGAGTCACTTCGGCCCTCAGCATCTTCTTGATGCTGAGGAGAGTATCATATGTTTTCCCAGTCGTGGTTAGGAAAAGGGTATTTATTAAAGCATGAGCTGGCCGAGACCTCCTTCTGCCAAAAGCTGGCGCTTGCTGCCCCCTCGTGGCTGATTTTTGCATAGCTCCATTCAAAGTGTGAAATTAGCAGGTAAATGACAAAAAAAAAAAAAAAAAAAAAAAAAAAAAAAAGGAGGGTGGGCTTCCACAGGAGAGCTCTGATGTATGTGAAATACTAAAGAAAGACCTTTTTTTTTTTTTTTAAATAACCATTTACATCTTGTATCTTGTGAGTCCCGGTTTTTCATGTCTTGGGCTAGAGAAAAGACGAAACAATGTAAAGACGACCTAAGTCACCGTGTGTGAGGAGAGTCTCTGTCACTGGATAAACATAGTGGAGTTGGACAAGGTGAGGGAGCTCCCCGACTCTATCAGCTCATCCAGGGCCTGGTAGGTCCCGACCACAAAGCCCACGAAGCCCAGGATGCTGATGAGGGCATCCTTAATGATGGTCAGGGGGCTCATGCCCTCAGAGTAGTAGGTGGTCAGCTCCAGCAGGGGTGGGATGATGAGGGCCAGGGCGCTGCTGCTCACGGAGCCCACCAGGGAGAGGACCAGGTCCAGGCGTGGGATGAGGATGGCCAGCATGCCTATGGGAGATGAAGGGGGACAGATGGAGAATCCCAGGTTTGGTCAATGCCTCTATAGGTTGTTGACCAAATGACCTTTAAAAAGATGATTTTGCCTTTTTAAGAAGATACCAACCTCCCTTGGAAACTCGGTTTTGCAAACGATAGTTGAGGGCTGGCTAGGTAGCTCAGTTGGTAGAACACGTGCCCAGCACTCATGAAGCCCTGATTCTATCCCCAGCACCATGCAAGCTGGCCGTGGTGACAAGCACCTATAACCCCAGCATTTTGGAGGTGAAGGCTGACACCCAGACCCAGTTTATAGACAATTGAAAGTCTTCATTCCAGCCAGCTGGGACTATACCCGGTATTTGGGTCTGTGTTTCCCGAATGCTCTATTTAGTCAGCAAAAAAGATCGTGCTGTTTACCTAACCACTGTTCAAATATCAGTAGCTTTAATGGATCTTTTGTCACTACTATTCCATACATTTGTGTGTGTTCTGAACGTTCTCCCCATCAAATGATTTTTTGTGCATATTTTCGTGCTTTACCCTTTGACCTGTGTAGGAGGTCCAAGGACAGCTTTCAGGAATGGACGCTTTCCATCCGCCCTGTGGGTTCTGGGGACTGGACTCGGTTGTCAGGCTTGGCACTGGCCCTTTACCACCACCACTATCGAGAAAGTATCAGGTGTGGCTCAGGCTGGCTTCAAACGTGCCGCGTAGCCAAGGGTGACCCCGAGCTGCTGAGCCTCCTGCCTCCACCTCCTGAGTGCTGGGATCACAGGTGTGTGCCACCGCCTCCTCGTTCTGAACCCCAGGGCATCACACTTGCCAGGCAAATACTCTACCAGCGGAGCCACGTCCCCAGCAACCAACGTTCACCGCCCTGATATTTGGCACGGGGACTGAATAAAATACCACGAAATACAGCCTAGGGCAAGCGTACCACGGTCCCCTGTGCACACTGGTAGCGTGGGATCGTTATGTAATTCACTGGATCTCAACGAGCCTGTCCTTTGGCCTCAGTACACCTTTCTAATTCTGGAACATCTAAGACTGGTTTGCGTGGAGGCTGGGGAGACGGCTCAGTCAGCCAAGTATCTACCCTGCAGGCACAAGGAGCTGAGTCTGATGTCTAGAACACATGTTAACAGGAAGAGGTGCAGTCGTAACACCAGCACTGGGGAGGCAGAGACAGGCTCATCCCTGGAGCTTGCTGGCTTGGTAGCCGAGCCTAACTGGTAAGTTCCAGGCCAATGAGAGAACATATTTAAAAAGGAAAGGTGGTGCCTGAAGAATGTCACCTAAGTTGTCCTCTGGCCTCTACATGGATGTGCACATATGGATGAATACACACACACACACACACACACACGCACGCACGCACGCACCTCTCGAAATGGTCAGAAGGCTCCCAGACTCTGTTCTACTTACATGTGAGGCAGACCATGGCGAGACGAATGGACAGGTCCACGGGCAGTGCCCAGCGCTTGGACACCTGGGAGACGGCCAGGGGGATGATGATTTCCGCAGGGACGTAGAACTGCAGGGCATAGGTACACAGGATGCCGACCACGTACAGGAGCTTGACTGACTGGTAGAGCCTGCAAGACACACGACTGTTCTCGACAGTCCGACACCCCCGCGCCTGGCCTCCTGGGGACAGCGGTCTCTGACTTGGGGACAATCTCTGTTTCTTTGTCTGAAAATGAAGGCGTGAAGCCTTCTCCGAGTGCAGAGGCGTCTGCCAGGGCGCGAAGGGGATCGGATGGTGGCAGAGGGGAGGGCCGTGTTGGTGAGGGGCAAGCGGTCCCGCGCATGTGCACACGTGGTGTGGCCACAGACCATCCTGGATCAGACTCAAGGTAGTCATGCTTGCATGTCAAATTCTGTTACCCACTGACCCATTTCCACATCTCACGTTTTCAACACTAGCTCCCCTGGCTTGGGGGGTCCCGGTGGCAGCAGAGACTTCGTCGTGAGCCTGGGAAGGGGAACCGGAAGGGTCCAACCCACAGAGAGGAGTCTCTTGCCCTCCAGCACTTGTGTCTTCTCCTCTAGGTGCTTCTGTGCTTTCCCCCTAGTTATGTCCCCTGCGCACTAAGCTGCCAAGGCCCGACTCTCAGCAGGTGGCTGCTGACAGGACCTCTGTACCCCAAGATTTGGATGTGGCCCCACCTCTCCCTGTGGAAGCGTCTCTGGACCTGGGTCTCCCTGCTCTGCCTGGGAAAGGAAGCGAGCTACACATTTCCACACATCTCTCAAACCCTTCCACCCAAGAGCCCCGAAGGTACCAGCAGTTGGGCAGGTTAAGGGTGATGCTGGCTTTGATGTCATCTCCAAACCGCAGGTAGCCTAGAGCCCCGATGGCAATGTACAGGGTGGTGACGATGGACATCCCTAGAGACAGAATGGCCGGAAAGCGGCGGGCATCCTTCATCTTGTTCTCCAGAGGCAGGACCTGCAGGAGCATCACACTGTACATGGGAAGGTAACAGCAGCAACAGCAGTGACAGTAATAACTAGGAGCACAAAGGAGAGAAAGCCTTGCTGCCTCTGACCTGTGCCCAGGTGAACCAAAAGGCGGAACTTGGAGAGACACTTGTACGCTCTTGCAATGTTATAAACTGTGATCAAGAGGTGGGAGGCACACAAACATTCATCATTATAAAATGGGTAAACATCATTATAAGATGGGTACATTCACCCAATGGAATATTATACATCCCTTAAAAAAAAAGAAATCCTGAAGGAAATCCTGGGGCTGGAGAGACAGCTCAATGGTTTGGAACGCTTAACTGTTGCTGTTGTAGAGAACCCTAATTCAGTTCCCAGAACCCGTATCAGACAGCTCACAGCCACCTGTAACTCCAGCTCCAGGGGATCTACACCCTCTTCCGGTTTCTTCGGGCACCAGACACACATGCAGTGTACCTCTATACATGCAGGCAAAACACTCATATGCATAGAATAAAAATAAAGAAATATATTTGAAGAAGGAGATCCTGACGCACACATATCGCAGTGCCTGTGGAGGCCAGAAGAGGGCGTTGGGTCTCCTGGAACTGGAGCTACAACCTGACGTGGGCGCTGGGATTCGAACCCTGGTTCTCTGTAAGAGCAGCCGGGGCTCTTAACTGCAGGGCCATCTTTGCGCTTCTGATTTATGACACCAGCCATTTGAACAGGGGAGGAGATACCCCACTGTGGTTTGGATTTGTTTTCCCAGTGAGAAGGTGCCTGTTTTCATATATTTGTTGGCCGTTTGTAGTTCTTCTTGAGGAAGCCTCCCCTTGGGTCACACTCACGCGTTTTGCAGCTGGATTACTTTGTTGTTGCTTGCCAGGTTCCTTATACACCCTGGGTGTCAGCTCTCTGTCAGGTGATCATGCGCTTCTTGTTCTGAAGGCTGTCTTTCCTCTGCTCTTGCCTTCACCGGCCAGATGCTCTTTAGTTAGACATAGCCCCATCTGCCAGTTTACTTTTTTTCTTTGTGCCTGTGGAATCCTCTCTAGGAATTCATGCCCTGGACACACCACTGTGTTCAAACCCCACTCTGATGTTCTTTCTAGAAGTTTGAGAATTTTGAGTCTTCCGTTAATGTCTTTGATCAATTTTGTGTTGATTTTAAATTTTTAATCACTTAATTAAATTAAATGTGTGTGCAGAGCTCAGAGGGCAAACTGGTGGGAGTTGGTTTTCTCCTTCCACCCTGTGGGATCCAGGGTTGAATTTAGGTCATTGGCCTTGGAAGCAAGTAACTTCACATGCTGAGCCATCTTGATGGGCCTTGGATTGATTTTGTGTAAGGTAAAGTTTCTATTCAGTGTCATAAGGTTGAGTTTCAGGATGTTAATCTTCCTGATTCTAGGAATTTAAACTCAAGGGAGTCTCAAATTCTGGGATAATTCAGTGGTTGAGGAAATCAGTCCATAGAACCCCTTTTCTTTTTAGCAAGGGAATGTGAAGAGGAACCCTTGCAGGCCTCAGAGTATGACAGGAACCTTGCTTCCCTCTTTCTCTGTTTCTTTCAGGCCACATTCCCTGAAGGCAAGTCCCAGCCACCGAGCCACATTTTGGTGTACTAGTGACAGAGCAATTCTGTAGACATCTGAAGTAGCCAAGCGCAACTAGGAAAGTGAACCCTGATGGATCTCATGAGTGAAGGGGATTCAGGATTGACTTCACAACTTTGCCTTGTGCAAAATCAGGATACAGTGCCCTGGGTCAAAAATCAAGAAAGCCACGATGGTGTGGGCAGAACGTGGAGGGTGTGACACTTTTGAAGACTGGCCTTGCTCGGTTGCATGGGTTGCACTCCCAGTGAACCTGACCTGGGGAGAACGGCTAAGACTTCATTCCTCTCTCACAGTGTTTAAGCCGTTGAGAAACACCTGGAAGTCACAGAAATGTGTGGAAGCATAGGAAGACAAAAGCCAGGCGTTCTGGCCATGGGATAGTTAAAAGGAGATTGGCTAGAAGCTGGTGAACTCAGAGAAAGATTTGCACAGGCTGGGCATGGTGGCACACACCCAGCGTGGGGAGGTAGAGGCAAGAGGATTGCCAATAAGTACAAGGCCAGTCAGGGAAACATAGCAAGACCCTGTCTTGAAAATCAAACCAAAACAAGATTTTAATACACACTTTACCAAAGAAGACATACAAATACCAACTACAAAGCACAAAGAAAGGCCAACCCATGTCTCAGGGGGGAAAGCACTTGCCCATAGATAGCTGGATGTGGTGGAACACATCTGTAAGCCTGGCACTCCTAAGGCAAAGTAGGAGGCAGAGCCAGGAGAATCGACAGAAAGCTCATGGGCCAGCTAGCCTGAGGGCTTAAGAGCAGCCAAAACAGTAAGAAAATCTATCTCGAGAAAGTGAAGAACTGGCTTCTGACCTCCGCCTGCAAACCTGCACCCTCACGAACACTCTTAAAAATTAATAAAACAAACAATCAAATGTGTATAAAAAGTATAAATGATACTCACAACCGATTACCATTAGTTGTTAGTAAACTGCAAATTAAACCATAGTCAAATGCCACTACAACACCTTTCAAAATGGTTGGAGTGAAAATATACTGCAGCTGGTGGGCACAGCTCAATGATGAGGTCCTACATTCAATTCCCAGCACCCTCCCCCACACACTCTGAACTGACAATCCAGACAAGCACTGGCCCAGAGGCAGAGGGCTGGAATGTTCACATGTTCTGGTCGAAGTAAAAGTGCCACAGTAAGGGGGGGGTGTAGCTCAATGGTAGGTAGCATCCCTTGCCTAAAGGACTGGGCTCTGGCTTCAGTCTCCAGCACTCAGAGCACTGACAAACGAACATCTGGGACAAAATGACTGCCATTCTGAAAACTGTTGGCAGTTCCTTCTTAATATCTATAAATATGAGTCCCAGAAGCCTATTCCTAGAAGAAAAAAAAAATAAGTTAAATCCACACAAAGACCCATATACGAGTGCTCAGAGCTGTTACAGATTAGAAACAATTCAGGCACACTTCAGTGCCTGAGCTGAGAGGTAGGACCGACATCAGTGGCTACTCTTTAGTGTGAGCACTGAGCTAGGGATGCAGGGTTAGAGTGAGTGCATTTGGCTGAGAAAATGCTCTTCTCAGCATTGCTATGTAGCCTCTACTTCAGTCGAGGAGAAAAGGAATTCTTGTTTTTTAATGAGCCAGGATCTCATGTAGCTCAGGCTGGCTGTGAATATGCTATAGAGTTAAGGATGACCTTGAACTCCCGATCTTCCCGCTTGCCCCTCAGGGCTAGGATTACAGGCTTGCACCATTACGCCCTGTTTATGGGGTGCTGAGGATGGAACTCGAGCCTTTGTACATGCAAGGTGAGCGTTCCACTAACAGAGCTACGTCCTTTGATCCCAGCGCTTGGGAGACAGAGGCAGGGGCAGGGGCAGGGGCAGGCAGATCTCTGGGTTTGAGGTTAGCCTGGTCTACATAGTGATAACCAGGATAACCAGGGCTACATAGAGAAACAACAACAAAACAAACAAACCAAAAATCCAAACAAAAAACAAAACCAAAACAAAACAAACACACGTATACACACAAAGCCGCACCTAGATCTTTCATGAAGTCTTTTCATTTGAATTATGCACAACCACTAACCTTGATGTTTTTAAAAATATTAGAAAACTCATATTGTTGGGAAGATAAACAATATATATATATATATTTTTTTTTTGAGACAGCCTTTCTCTGTAAAAGCCCTGGCTGTCCAAGACTTGATTTATAGACCAGGCTGGACTCAAACTCACAAAGATCCACCTACCTCTGCCTCCCAAGTGCTGGGATTAAAGGCATGTGCCAGCACTGCCCAGCTGGGAAGATAAACATTGGATAGACATATTGAGACAAAAATAATCTGATTGCCTCTCTGTCATAACCTACTTTCCATCTGCTGGTGAAACTGATCCAAATGAGACCAGAGGTTGCTTTATCCCGTGTGTAATTTCCACAGGCCTAACCCAATGGCCAAGAGCACACAGAGACTGGTTCACAGGTCCAGGGAAAGGCCCCCTTCATCCAAACCTTACCACGCCAATGCTTTCAAATGAAAAAATGGCTGTTCCAAAGAAGAGAGGGTAGGTCTTCCAGCTTGCTACCAGTGGCAACTTGCTGGGGTCTGGAATACCCTATAGGAGAGAAAAACAGGCGATTGTCATTCTGTGGGTGTGCTTGAGCTCTGCTAAGCGAGAGGGACTTTAAGAGGAGAACTGGATTTGAGAAAACTAAATGCCAAAAAGTGCGGCAAGCCTTTAGAATGAGGTAAAACTGATGACTATGGACTTTAATATTGCACAGTACCAAAGAGCCAGAGGGCAGGAACATGCAGGCATTGTCAAAGCACCGAAGATCAGATTCTCATGAAGGAAGCAGGTTTACCAGTAGTCTCTAAAAGAACATTATGAGCACCTATGTGTGGGTAGTGGGCATGAGTATTCAAAGTTATTGTAGTGTAGTTATAGAATGTTTTAGGGCCAATGTAGTTACTCAGATAAGGAGTCTGCTGTTCTCTTTCTGAACCGTAGGTTAAAGGGAAAGAACATAATGGGTGTGGTAAATTCTCTACTTACACCATGGCCCAGAACGTTAAAAACAAACGCAGGATTGTTTTTTTTATAATGGAAGATTCCTGGAATAGCCCCAACACAAAGCAGAAGGTGCTATCTTACTTAGGAAATTCAATTTTGTAGCATTTCTATCTTTGAGACAGGGGCTCAGGTGTCTCAGGCTGGCCTCCAGCTCTCTATGCAGCCAAGGGAGCCGGTGAGTTTCTGATCCTCCTGCCTCCATCTCCCATGGGCTGCAGCTCATCAATGGATGTAGTTTCCTTGCAAAGCAAGCATAGGTTTGCGGGTGTGCATGTGTGTGTGTGTGTGTGTGGTTGTGTGCATGTGTATGTGTGTACGTGTGGGCGAGCAAACATGTGTACGCGTACAGGCACACGCTAGTATGTGAGTGTACATGTGTATGTGTGCGTGAATATATTTGCGTGTGTGCATCCGTGTGTACGGGTATGAGTGTATATGTAGAGTGTGGACACACGTGGAGCCAGAGATCAGTGTCAAGTGTCTTCATTGGTCCCTCTCCGCTTTCTTTTTGAATTAGGGTCTCTCACTGAGACTGGCTAGAATGGCTGGTCAGTCAGCTCCCAGGATCCTCTGGTCCATGTTGTGCTCATTCCAATTCTCCGAACCCAGTGCTGGAACTACAAGCGCAAGTCACAGCACCCTGGCTCTTCCACAGGTGCTGAAAATCTAAATCCAGGTCTTCAGGCTTGTGTGACAAGCAGTTTACTGATGGAACTGTCCCCCAACCCTGCAAACCTAGCTTTTTGAAAAGCTGAATTTGAAACCAGGAGCAGTGTAATCCTTGCACTAGGGAAGGCAGAGGCAGGCGTATCTCTGTGGGTTCGGGGCCAGACTGGCCTACAAAGTGAGTACAAGACAGCCACGGCTACACAGAGAAACCCTGTCTCAAAAACAAACAAACAAACAAACAAACCAACCAACCAACCAACCTAGTCATTTGGAGACACCATAAGAAGGAGGTAGCTCAAACGATGAAACAGTACAAAGAAGCAAGATCACATGTAGTTTCGTCCTAGGCTGAAGGGTGAGGAACGTCTCAGGACTTGGTCCCTGTCTCCTGGGGAGCCAGTAAGTGGTGTGCACCAACCTGGACGATGTACTGAGCAATGATGACTAAGCTGATTAGCATGCTGATGTTGGCCAACAGGGAGAAAATGGTAAGGACTCGGAGGTTCCGGATGAAGACCAGAAGGCCCAGGACGGGCAGGAAGGTGAGCATGTAGAGTCGCGAGTCCATGGTGGGTGTCAGAACTGCCGTTTCATTGTTGTGGCAGCTGATGGTTGTGCCATTAACCGCTTCTACTACCTGAGGCGGGAATGAGAAGACAAGAGGAGGAAGAGAAATCTGACCACACGACGGACTCAGTGCTTTCCCCAGAACCAGAACGTCTTACAAAGAGTTGGGGGGGGGGTCCTGGACAAGTATGGGGCACCTGAGAACTTCTTTTTGGTTTCAATTTTTAAAAACGTTTACGTTTATTTACACGCGCGCGTGTGCGTGTGTGCTCGCGTGCTCGCCCTGGTGCGTGTGTGGAAGTCGAAGTCAACTCTCAGGAGTCGGCTCTCTCCTTCCACCATGTGGGACCAGGGGCTCAAACGCAGGTCATCAGGCTTGGCTGCAAATGCCATCTCTCCAGTCTAGTCTTAGTCAAAATCCTCCCCACCAGACTGTGAGGCTATCAAAACGGTGAATTTAATGACAGGTGACTGCATTAATGGGGGAGCCTGCTGCCTTGCCTCTCGACATCCATTCCCCTGGTCTCGGTTATTCGCAGGGAATTCTCTTTTACTGTGGACTGTAGCTTGGGAGAACTTAAAGGATTACAGAGCTGGAGGGCTGGCCTGTAAATCAGGCTCTGCACTCTGCACTTGAGATGGAAATCTCAAGCCAAGTGTCACAAAGACCAACCAAAAAAAAAGTGAAAGTAAACCCTGACAATGTGGCCCCAAGGCATGAATCACTTATTCTGGTGTCTACGTACACACACACACACACACACACACACACACACACACACAGGGTCTTTTCTCAGACCCTGCTTTTAGCTTGTTCTTCCATTTTATAAGTTGGCTTAGAACCTTCTAGTACACGTATTTTTTGTTTAAAAATTTCCCAGAGTCTCTTTCTTTCACTTGTAACCCCTAAATCCCATGAGTTACTGATCTGTAATTGGCCTAGAGAGTTACTCTCTCTTGCTCTCCCTTCTTAAAATGTCAGATCACTTACCTTATCATTGTGTGTGTATGAGTGTTTTGCCTATGAAGGGCCCAAGCAGCTGCCCTGTAGCAGCTGTGCTGCCGTGACAGGCTTCCTAAGATACTGTAGGCCTGAGTTTCTGTTTCCTGCTAATGTTCCCGCAGTCTCTTAGATCATGTTTCTATTTCTCGGAACATGAAACTCTAGTCCATGGAAACAAGATACAGTAACTCAATAACCTCCCTGAAAATCAGAAACAATAATCTAATAACTGCCTTGAAAAGTCCCCAAGCACTTGACCAATAAAATTAAAGACTAGTCAGAAACCTTTTTGCTTAGCCAGTCAAAATGGTATTGTTAGCTGGGCACTCTTTGTTACCTGGGCACACCTGGTTCCTTGGACACTCCATGAAATCTCTCCCCTACCCCATCCCCTAGATCAGCACCAAGCCATCAGTTTATGACAATCAGCTTCTGCTAAGTGAGAACCAGTCGTGTAAATACCCAGTGAGAGAGTCCCGTTCCTTGCTCTAACCATAAATAAAAACCCAGCATTGCAGCTACTTAGGGCTCCCCTCCCTAATCCACTGCGTTGGACAAGGGGGAGTCCACGCTTAAGCCTAAAATAAAGACTCTTCGTTCTTGCTTAGGTGGTGGTCTCCTGGGGTTTTGGGGTCTTTGTGATCTTTGGAATAACACCTATGTGTGTGTTTGTGCACCGTGTGCATGTCTGGTGCCTGCTGAGGTCAGAAGAGGGCCTCAGATCTCTGGAGACTGGAATTAACAGATAATTGTCAACTCTCATGTTGGTGGTGGGACTAGAACCCAGGTCCTCGGCAGGAGCAAAAAGTGCTCTAATCCACTGACCCATTGTCTAGCCACAGTTATTCTTTATTGACTGGAATTGTACTAGCATTTAGAATGTCAGGGTTCTCCTTTTATTTTTATTTATTTATTTTTGGTATGGATTAGAACACTGGACATCCTTGAACCCTACTTAGTGAAAGCTATTAACGCCTCCAAACATGTTGTAAACAAGACCCCAATGGTGGTTAGTTTTAATTGTCAACTTGACACAATCTAGAATTACCCAGGAAGAGTCTCCATGAAGAACTGTATAGATCAGGTTGGCCTGGGGCATGTCTGTGTGTGTGTGTCGGGGGGGAGGATATTGTCTTGATTTTTAAGCCATGTGAGACAACCCCAGCCCACGGTGGGCAGCACCATTCCCTAGAATCATGTCCTAGACTATGTAATCATGGAGAAACTGAGCTAAGTAGTAGGCATTCAGGATTCATTTCTCTCTGCTCTTGGCTGTGGATGTGCTGTGAGTAACGGCTTAGGGTTCTTGCTGCCTTGACTTCCTCACAATGATACAATGTAACCTGGAGTTGTGAGCTAAAATGAACTCCTTCTTTTCTTGAGTTTCTTTTTGTCAAGGTATCCCATCACAGCATCAAAAAATGAGGCTAAACAATCTCCTAACATACATGGTACACATGTCTCTTTCTTAAAAGGTTAGGGGCGAATGAATGATCGCTCTAAGTTTAAAATCAGTGAAACCCTAATATAAACAATATAGGTGTCCAGGCAATAGAATTCACAGCAGAACAATTAGAATCTAGAATCATGTAAGAAGAAAGTGTAAAGCTGTTTCTGGCATCAGTACTGGTGGAGAAGCATGGGGTCCTCTCCAATACATTCATCCATGCATTTTCTACACAACTTCTCAAGTTACATGATAAAGATTCATTTTATTTTGTAACATAGCAATCACTATATCCACTCTTACCTTGGAATCTTGTTTTAACATAACACACATCACGGGTATATAAATATGAGTCTTATCTCTGGAAATTTTCTCTGCTTTGTGTGTGTGCGTTACCAGGATAGAACCCTGGGGCCTGGGCATACAGAGCAAGTGCCATACCACTGAGTTTCTTGGCTTGGCTTTAGATTTTATTTTTTTGAGGCAAGGTATCATGTAGTCCAGGTTGGCCTCAAACTTACTATGTGGCTGAGGCTGACCTTGAACTTCTGATCCTCCTGCCTCTTTTCCTTCCCAGTTTGCGTAGCACTGGAAGTTGAACCCAGAGTTTTAGGAATGTCAGGCAATTGGTCTACAACTGAGCTACATCTCAACTCTTCTACCTCTGCTTTTTTTGTTTGTGTGTTTGTTTGTTTGTTTTTAAATGATCCCTCCATGCAGTAGGAAACATTCCCAGATGAGCAGCCAGGCACTCACAGGCCTCCATAAATGGTCTCTGTGGTCAGGGCTCTTCCTAGCTGTGGCCACCATTGTCTTCCATCATTAGTGCTGTAACTCCAGCACTGGGGAGGTGGAGGCAGGAAGATCTGAAGTTCAAGATCATCCTCCACTACATAGTGAGTTTGAGGCCAGTTTGGGCTACATGAGACCCTGCCTCCAACGGTAAAACAAAACAAACCCCAAATGATCAAATAAAGATAATACGAACAATAATGTCCTCGGGTGTGGATGTGGCTGGGCTCGTAGACTGCTTGCTGGGCATCCATGAAATTCTGGGTTTGATTCCTATCATTGCATAAACCAGGCGTGGTGGCACACACCTCAGATACCAACTCTTGGTGGGTAAGGGCAGGGGACCAGGAATTCAAGGTCATTTTTGGCTATATAAGTTTGCGGCTAGCCACGGATACAAGAGACCCTACCTCAAAAAAAGAAAAAAAAAATAGAAAAGAGAGAAGAAACAGTGATAGACTTCTTCGAAGTGAATCGGCTATGATAGTCAGCCCACCCTTACTTTAATAAGACACCTGAGATAATCAACTTTTAGAAAGAAAAAAATAGGCTTTTAAGATGGCATGCACACACACACACACCCACACACACACACACACACACACACACACATGGCCCAGAAATCTGTAGAGACATGGAGGGTTGGGAAGGCCAAGCTATCTGATAGCATGGCTTTCGCTACCCAGGATGAGTTTTGGGGGACTCAGATGAAGTAATGTGGTAAGCAAACAATGGGTAAAGAAGCGTCCTCTTGCGTCTTCCTGTCCCACCGCCTCTAGCGTACCTGTTTTAAATTGTCTGCCAGAAACACAATGTACACACAACAGAAGCCAAGCTGGGTGACAATGAGGAAGAAGCTCACGACGTTCCTGGAGGGAGGGGGAGGGGAGAGAGACTCATTATAAAAGAAATTAACTTTTCTGATCCATTTCTAGCCAATCTGCCTTCTGTCCCCAACGGATGTTGGTCCTGTGCCAACACCCTCCATCCTTCTACCCCTGTCAAGAGGGCAGAGAGGAGGGAGGTGACAACAGCTCTTTGTAAACAGCTGCACACTCAGGATAAGTGGTCAAGTTCTCAGGGATGCAAGCCTGTGCCCCACCTAGCTCCGTGGCCTCTGCCTCTCATGTGACCAGTAGCAAGCACACAGCATCTATTAGCTGCCCAGCACACATAAAACATTTTCCCTAATATGTGTCAGACCCTTCATTAGGTATTGAAGATTCATAGATGACACAGGACCTCTTGCTCTGGTGGTTTAGAACAGAATGGTTTGTAAGAAATTAGTATTACGGGGGCTGAAGGAATGTTGCAACAGACAGGTAGACAACAGAGAGGGAGAGACAGAGACAGAGGCAGGCAGGCAGGCAGACAGACAGACAGACCAACAGATGAACAAAGAGAGGGAGAGAGAGAGTTAATGACCTGTGGAGGCAGGAAGGAGCACTTTAGAGAGACCACGATGGGCTGGAGATATGGCTCACTAGTGAAGGTGCAGTCCAGGTCCCAGGATTTACATAAATGCCAGGCATGCACGTTGCTCTTCCAATACTTCCAGCCTTGCAAGATGGAGACGGGGACTCCACAGCGAAATGGCTAGTGAAATTAGCCTTATCAGCAAGCTCTGCATTTGATTGAGAAACCTTGCCTCAACAAGTAAGGTGGAAGAGTGATGGAGAATGATTTCTGATGTCAACCTCAGGCCTTCACATGCAGGAACACACATGTACACTGCATGCACTCCTACACGTGTGAAAGTATGCACACCACACGCACATATGAAAATGGGGAAAAAACAATGCATGAGGAAAACGACCTTTGGAAGGGGGGGAAAAGGGAGAAGGGGAGAGGAGGAGAAGGAGGAAGGAAGAAGAGGAGACAGAGGAAGAGAAAGAAGAGGAGGAGGAAAAGGAAAAATAGGAGGTGCTGAAGGTGGAGGAATGAGGAAGCATTTGTGTAGAGGGAACAGGTAGATTTCACTACTTTCCAAGTGTAGTGTTCACCAGTGGAGCAAGACCAAGCCAGAGGGGGTGGCAGTATGTGCTCCCCAATGAGTAAGAGGGCAGTCGCCTGCATGGAGCTGTGGTCACTGGGGCAGGGGGATGAAAGCATGTTCAAAGTTCTAGGGAGCTGCAATGTACAGACCCTGACTATGGACCACTGGTTAGGGGATGGATAATCTAACATGATGGACCTGGTTTTGACTTGCACCACTCAAAAGGAAGGACAGGCATGAGAAGGAGGAGACCGGGTACATTCATTTGGTATCCGAAGCAGAATGTTGTGCAGGAAACAACTGTGTCTCAAGCAGCTGGGATGCTGAGTTGTGCCAATGGATGAATCCTTGAGGAGGCAGATCAAGGTTGAAAAGCATGCAGAATCTGAAGAGGAAAGGGCGGAGGTCCCAACTGACAGATTCAGAGGAAACTCCAATTCCCCAAACTCCAAAAGGCAGGCCACATATCCAGAAACATGCTCAAGCTGGATCATAGAATTTCTGGTGGTTAGATAAAAGCCAGGGTTCCTCTGGAGCTTAGGAAACTGATTCCCATCTGCTAAAAGCAGGTCATTTTCCTTATTTCTGGCAGAAGGGACATATGGCTCTCCAGTGACATACCTGTGGCTGCATTTCAAAGTGCATGCGGTCCTTAGGGCCCCTCTGTATCATAAGTACCTACTTCACATTTCCAAGTCCATGCTAGCATCCTAGCCCTTCTCACCCCGCCCCCACAGCTGCTCATCATTTTTATGACCCAGATAACCTCACTATTCTCTGCTCTTGCTATTCTTACTATGCACTCTCTATTCTCTATCTCTGGTTGTTCTCCCTTCTCTCACAGATAGCCGTGGTCATGTCTAGTCTGCTGGCCATGTGGTCTTTCTTCTCTCTTTGCTCTGGACTCTTCCAAATGCTTCTGGGTGTTCTCTCTGTCTATCTATCTCATCAACATAAAAAACTTCCTCTTAACCATACCATGGAGCAGTGACGTTGGCAGTTTCTTTACTGCACCCCTCATCTACATTTGGTGCTGAAACCCTCACAAACTCTAACCCTGGAGAATACCGCTTGATAGGCCCAGATCTACAGTGGTTCTGACAGGAAATAGTCAAGGAAGCTGGGGGAGGGGGGAGCCAACAGCCAAGAGAAAAAGAAGAAATGATCGTCCCTACGGCTGCTGAGATGCCCCCAGGGTAGGAAAAGCTCAGCAAGAAGGCCTTTCAGGAACATGGCGGAAGAAATAAAAAGCAGTAGAGACAAGAGTGGATGCAAGGCCATCCCTCCTCTCTGTTTGACTTCTGTGTATACGCATGTTTACTCTGTGTGTACGTGTGTGTGCATGTTCACTGTGTATGAATGCATGTAGGCATGGTCACACTCTTGTCCATATATGCTCGCTGGGTATGTTCACTCTCTCAGTGTGCAGAGGCCAGAGGTTGATGTCAGGTGTCCTCTTCCATCAACTCTCCACTTTATTTTATCAAGTGTAGGTCTGTGGGTGAAGCCAGGGCTCAGTAATTCCACTAATTTAGATGGCTAGCTCAACCCAGGGATCCCATCTCTGCTTCCCAAGTCCTGGGACTCTACATAGTCCATCACGCCTGCCTGGCTATTACATGGGTTGTAGGAATCTGAACTCTGGCCCTCATGCCCGTGTGGCAAGCACTTTCTCCACTGAGCCATCTCCCCAGTCCCTGTCCCCATCTTTTATGAAGCCAGACACTGCAGCTCTGAGCAATGGTACACACCCAGTTCAAAGTTTGGACCCAGTGTCAAAAGTACCATTTGCTCCACTGCAGGCTTTTGGTATATCCTGTGGATAACTGTATTGAATACTTAAATTTTGTTAGGTCAACAAAGCTTGATTCACCAGTTTTATCATTTGTAAGAAAATGATACAGGGCCATATTTAAACGTTGAGAGAACGGGCCCACACCAGTGAACATGCCTATACGATGGTAATTAGTTGATGACCAGAAAAGGCAGGGAGGGTGGGATATAGGCATAAGAACAGAGACAGAGGAAGACAGAGGAGTGAATTTAAACTCAGCCACCGAGGACAGGAGGTATTGACATGCGTGTTACTGCTGAGATCCTACAGGTGGGTTTCAGGGAGGAACAGTCCAGCTCAATCAAGTGTCCCAAACTGAGTCTTTCTGCTCTTTCTGTTTTCCATTCTTCCCTCAAGACTTCTTCTGTCCCTGGCCTTATGACTGCTGACTTTACTTCTGTAAGTCTGGCATTCACATGCAGTGAGGTCTCCTCTCAAATTTCACCCCAGACCCATGTTGCCCAAAATAGAAGTGGGCAGAAGTCTGAGTCAATCTGGCTCTTCTTTCTTGTTTTTTTTTTTTTCCATTTGTGTGTGTGTGCATGCCCCCCCTCAACCCCCAAGACAGGGTTTCTCTTTATAATAGAGCCTTGGCTGTCCTGAACTTACTTTGTAGCCCAGGCTGGCCTCAAACTCAGAGATCCACCTTCCTTCCTTGGCCTCATGAGTGCTGGGATTAAAGGCATGCGCCACCACACCTGGCTTGTGTGTGCATGTTTTACATGTGTCTACACATGTGTGTGTATGCATGTGGAGGCCTGAGATTGATGTCCATTGTTCTCCCACCTAATGCGTCGAGGTAGGGTCTCTCAACCAAGCCCAGAGCTGCCTGACATGGCTAGCCTTGCTAGCCAGCTTGTTCTTGGGAATCCCCAGTCTTCATTTTCTGAGTCTGGAATTCTAGATGGAACGCACACACACACACACACACACACACACACACACACCTGACATTCATGTGAGTTCTGGAGATCTGCTTGCAGGAGAAATGCTTTGACTAATGCGCCATCTCCCCGGCCCCAACTCTTTCCTTTTCTTTCAGCTAATCCCTTACTAAGACAATTTTCCTTCATTCCCCTTGACACACACAGTCTTGGTCTCTGTCACCATCAGAATGGACACTGTCTGCACTAAACCTCCTCAGGGGCCGAAGTCTGCCCTAGGCTCCTTTATAATCTCTTCTCCTCACAGAAGCTGGACACGTGCTTACTTCCCCGATTCAGAGCTCTTGCCTTAAGAAAGGGGCTGGAGAGACCGCTCAGTGGTTAAGAGCATGTACGACTTTTTCAGTTATTAAGAGCGTGTACTCCTTTTTCTAAAGGACCAGAGTTTGGTTCCCAGCCCCTACCTCACAACCAGGGGAGCCAATACTTTGGAGGCACTTGTACTCAGATGCACAAACCCCACCCCCAACACACACATAATTAAAACTAATAAAAATGAGTATTTTTACTTAAAAAAGGTTTATTTAACATGAGTGCTGCATCTGCAAGTACACCTGCATGCCAGAAGAGGGCAGCAGATCCCATTTCAGAGGGTTGTGGGCCACCATGTGGTTGCTGGAAATTGAACTCACTGTCTGGGAGAGCAGACAGTGCTCTTAACCACTGAGCCATCTCTCCAACCCCAAATGAGGTGGTTTTTTTTTTTTTTTTAAGAAAATAGCAAAATCTTAGAGAGTCTCTAAAATATACAATATAGGCCAATACAACAGTGCTTGCTGCCACACTTAATGACCTGAGTTTGAGCCACGTGATAGGAGGAGCAACCTGACTCCTTTGGGTTTTCTGACTCCCTCCCCCACCAAAATAAATACACACATAATTAAAAATAAAACGCGCTTTGCCCCTTCCTCAGTGTCCGGAACCTGACTTTGCATGACTCTTCATGCTACCTGGTCTTTGCATAGCATGAACCTGTCACATACCCTCACGGGACTTGCACCATCACCCAGCCCCTGCTCCCTTCCTGAAAAGTCCTCCCAAGTCCTGCCTTCTCCCCTCTAAGTAACTCTTCATCCCTCAAGGTTCCTTTCTGCAGAACCCACCTCAGCCACCCTGGCCTGACACATCCCCCTACCCTTGGCTGCGACATTCCTCCATTTGATGGTAGCCAGAACCTCTTCCACGTGTAGCCCATTGGGTATTGCATAATTAAGCTTTCCCAATGGACCCTGGGTAATGCAAGAGCAAAGCCTGGCTGTCTGTCTCTTCCCCTGCGGTGTTTGCAGGGAGCAGTATGGTTTCCTGAGAGTGTATGATAAATGAACACCTGTCACCAGAGATCCGTGAGAACTGTATGGGTGATGTTGGAAGTGACCTGCTTCCGCGTGGAGAGTCTGACCTCTGAGCCACCTGGTCAGGGAAGAAGACGTTCCCTTCCGGTATTGGTTTCTCCTCCCACGTCCTAAGCCACTGTGAACAAAGCAAGAGCAAGGTACCTCCCCCAGTGGGCGTGGTTCTGCAGCCAGGCGTTGGGACTGGACGCCAGTCCGTGCATCACTGTGTCTCCATAGTCCATGAAGGGCTTGTTGAGTCTGCAGGACGGAGCACAGACATCATTTTAAGAGACAGATGAACCTAAGATTTTTTTTTTTTTTTTTTTTTTTAAAGATCCAAGAGGCCAAGCTGGAGAGATGCCGTGCAAACATGAGGACCTGAGTTCAAATCCCAGAACCCATATAAAAACACGGGTCTGAAATTCCTGCACTACTACACCAAGATGGAAGGCAGAGACGGGAGACTCCCTGAATCCCTGGCATCTTGTTGACTGCGTAGCCTGGCATATGCCGCAGCAAACAAGAGACTTTTTGTTTGTTTTTTTTTTTCAAACAAGGTAGAAGGCCAGGACTGACAGCTGAGGCTGGTGTGTTGTGGCATGAGGGAACGAAGAAAGGAAAAGGACAGACGCGTGGACAGGAAAGCTGGGATCCAGCGGGGCTGTGCGCGCTCTGATGTGGGAACCTAGCGCATTTACTGTCCACAGGTTTAGTGCACACAGCTGAACGAGGGGCAGGTTTACTCAATCTGGGGAGGGCCGCATCCTCAAGCTGCTGTCGTCCAGAGGAGGGAGCTGTGATTGACAGTTGCCGCGTGCACTGTCAACGCGCACAGTGGGAGCAGAGGCAACATTCGCCATCTCTCTGAGCCTCACCTTGGAAAGGCTTTCCGGGTCATTGGAATTCTTGACATGGCTCATGCCAGAAATACATCCACTCAGGTCTTCCTCCACTCCCCACAACTCATGGGTTAGAAAAAAAATGTTAAAGAGATTTAGATTGAGGCCACACAGATACAGGGTGGAAAGAACATGGAGCCGGTACAGCCAGGTTCTAACTGAGGCTGTAATACCACTGCACTTTGTTCTCACGTGTGATCCGAGCAGTTTCCACACAGCTTGAGCACATGCCTGGCATGGGTGTAGTGGTGCCTAGAGCCCTGGCTCTGGCTGAACTGGGGACAACCCTCAGAGGCAGGAATGGGCAAGGTGGTCTGATCAGATAAGCTCCAAAAGTCCAGACTGAAGTCACTTAAGAGCTCAGGGCCTTCCCTGAGATCTCCCCATCCCTGAAGCTCCTTTTCTTGGCAATCATGGGAACCACAGAGAAGGAAGCTCTTCTAATGAGTAGGATGATGGGGGGAGGGGGATGTCCCTGAGAGACCCACACACGGGACACTCCTCACCTGTGACAGAAGCGCTGGGCACACCTGACCAGGATGTGCATACAGTGGCAGGCGACGAGGCCTATCACCAGCAAACTGAGTGGGCCCATCTGCAGGCAGGGCAGACAGGAGTAAGGTGGGAGAGAAGACAGCTTAGTGGTGCAAATATTGCCGAGGACTCAAAGATCTCTTCCCCCCCTCCTCTCTCGTTGCGGGGGGGGGGGGACTCCAGCCCGCCACAGTACATGTGTGGAGACTAGAGGACAGAGGGCAGAGGATAAAATCTTCTTTCTCCTTCCACTGTGTGAGTCCCAGAATCAAACTCAGGTCAATGGACTTGGTGGCCAGTGCCTTTATCTACTGAGGCATTTGGTAGCCTTGAAAGAACTTTCTAGAAAACTGAGTTAAAAGAGAGTTTACTATTCTTTCCAAAAGTTATCCTCAAGTCATGTCCCAAAAGTACACATAACAATGATGATGAAGTTTGTGACGGCAGTAGGGGACTCAGAGTTTTGACCACATGTCCCTTTGGTGGTCTCTGAGGTGTTGCCAAGGATACCTAAGCTCTGCAAAGCCAGACTGGAAAACTGCTCCTACTCCAACCTTTACAGTGTACAAAAGAAGGAGGCTGAGGCCCGGGAATGGATGAAAAGTGTTGACTTGACTCCTAGTGCCTGTGGCTGAGACAGAACTCAGACCCAGGCTTGATGTTTAGATTCTAGGTCAGTGTCAATCACCCCTCCTCCTCCCCTCCTGACCCCTGCCAAGGAACACTGTTTGCTATAGGGTATTTTAAACCATTATTGTCTCTTTCCCCATTCCCACAACTCTTTATAATGGCCCTACTTAGCCATTCCTCTTACCAAGATGCCTGCATTCTTCACAGCCAAGGGGAGTCCCAGGATCCCCGTGCCCATGTTGCCTTTGACCAGATGAACCAGTGTCTGGAACCCTCTGCAAGACAGAAAGGAGGTATGGGGACATGGGAATGGAGATGGGAGAGAATCTGGTAGCCATTTCCTCGTAGCATGTCAGCACCTCAGTGAAACTGGGCAGGGAAGTTCACGGCCATCTTGATCTCCATGTATCCTTGCTTTGGTACAAGTGGGTCTCCTGGAAGGTGAGCATTCACCCCACATTGTCCAGAAGAGTTCCAGCATTAGCAACTCATGCTCAGCCTAGGCCATGAAGCCCTGACTATATGAGACACTGTGCTGAGCAGTTTATATATTTATATAAAACATCTCATTTAATCTTCTCAGCAGGACGATAAAGTAGGCAACAATGTGGGTTTTGGTTTACAGATGGAAAATGGAGGCACAAAAGTACTTAGATGATTTGCCCCGGTGGGCACACCAGAAGGGAGGCGGGGCTGGAAGCCAAGCTGCTTCACAGCTCTGTTCTTTACTTCTGCTGACCGCTGGGAGGCAGACCCAGAGCAAGGGAGCAAAGAGGCAGCCCTGTGTCAGCACAGGGGAAACTGAGGCCCGGAGACTGGCCTGAGTCCCTGTGTTGTGGCAGAGACGGGACTGTACTCCAAGGAGAGGGGACAGGCAGACAGGAAGGTCCCTGTGACTTCTCAGCAATAGGTCAGGTGACGTGGGTCATCTGGGGATTGATCTTCAGAGAGACTTTTTTTTCTTTTCATCTTAGCCCGGGACATTAAATCTGGCAAATGGCATGACCCTTATCCCAGTGAAGCCCAAACTAAAGCAAAGGACTCCCACTCTTTCTGTTAGTATTTACTCACGGTGTTCGGGGCCATACCCAGGGCCCGGGACATGCTAGGCAAGGGCTCTGCTTCCAGGTGGTGCCCTCCGTACTTATTATTTCTCTCTTTTTTCTTTTTTTACTTCCCTTCCTTCCTTTCTCCTTCTTCATCCTCCCACCCCCTTTTGTTTTTCTCAGGGTCTCACGCAACACAGGCTAGCCTCTAACTCACTATATTGACAAGGCTGACCTTGAACTTCTGACTGTTCTACCTCTACCCCTCCAGTGCTGGGACTTCAGGTCTGTGTACCACCATGCCCAGTGGTACCATGCAGTGCTGGGAATCGAACCCGGGGCCGTGTGCCGTCTAGGCAGGCATTCTACCAAATGAGCTATGTCCCCAGCTTCAACATACTATTTCTTTAAGACAGATAAGAAGTTGATCCAGAGGGCAAGGTCATTAGGGGAGAAAAAAATTTCCAAGTTGGGACTTTCTCTCCCAGTGAATTTCAACCCCAGCTTTCTTCTAGAGGCCCCTCTATCCTGACCTTGTGCAACACAGTACTAAGCTTTTATCTAAACCCTTAGAAGCCTTAAAAATTCCCCCAAAAACCCTCACAGCCAAGGAAAGGATCATCTGAAAGCAGGGACAGGAATCTAGCAAGAGCCTGGATTTTGGAATCAGACAAACCTGGGTTTCAACCCAAGGCTGCTATGTACCCAGCTCGGTCATTTTGTGGGGGCACATGTTTGGCTCTGCAGAGACTCTGCAAATGTTAAGAATAATGATATTTTGAAAGACTTCACCCAACCCCTGGTCTCGACACTAAACCCCGAGTCCTCTGGCTCTGGTGGACCTGCCGGTGGATTGGTGGGAGTTAAAGAACAATTGGAGGAGAAGGGGGGTGGAGAGTCCCGCATGCCTTTCCCTTTCCCTGTGGGTGTCAACATTGCTGACTGAGAACTGCATGCCCCCTGGCCCCCAGTGATGGGCTTGTTTTGCAACTGGAAAGGGGTCAGCGGGTCACTTAGGAAATTTCTAACTAAAGGACTTAGGAAACCAGAATCAGCTTGCAGCCAGTCAGCCAGCTTGCGTTGTGCCAAGCCATGCAGAATTTTTAGACCATGAGCCAGGAGGCCTATGTTCCGTTTCTAATTCCTTTGGTGACCCGGAACCACCATCACAGGTATTTTTTTTAAGCACCTAAGAATACAATAGGTTCTATGCGTGAGGGCTTCGTGATCACATATAAGGTACAGCCAACCTGGGAGAAGCAAGCCATCACTTCTAGACTCTACCGCTTTCTCCAGCTGGTAAGTGGGAACCGAATCCAGAGTGCCAGACCGTATCAGCCTCACACTTATCCAACCTGTATGACTTGTCTCCAAGCCCCACAATGTCCTCTCTGGCTCTTGCTTGCTTTATTCTTCTGACTTTTGAGTAGCTGAAATTGCCACCTCGACCATCCAGGACACGGGGCACAAGTGTCAGCTGCTTCTCTCAAAGTTGAGAAACACCCCTGCTCTGCTGTGGGTGGCTCTGGGGCCCTCAGTGGCTTCGCTCTAGTGATCTCCAGCATTTAGAAGGCCCAGGACAAGTTCCAGGGGCAAAGGAGCCGTGCCACACTGCCAGCAGCCTTTGCATCCATCCCTGCAGCCTCCCGTAGGTGGTGTGGAGAAAGGTTGTGCCCATCCCTTCGGCACCTCCTCCCTCTCTGCCACACGCTCCCTTCCTCCACATTCCTAATCAGCCCTCCACACATGCTCAATGTCCTGGGTCCCACCTGCTCCTCCCTGCTTTACATATGCGGAAAGTTGACTCAGAGGAGAGGAGGACAGGGATTCCACCTGCTCCCGGACCTTCTGGTCCTCTGTTAAATGTTCTCCCCACCACACTGATGGTGTTACAAGCTGCTCTTTCAAGCATGAGCCTGTGCTAGCTGGACTACTGTGTTGGTGAAGTCAAACGAGGAGGAGGAGGGTACTGGAGCCCTGCAGCTTGCCATGTTCTGTAAACCTTTGTGAATGCCTCCCCACCTCCCCCCGAATCCATCTTCCAGGAAATGGAAGAAACCAGAATCTTCCACATGCTGTATTTTTGCAGCCCCAGTGACAACAGGCGCCAGGCTTGCTAACATGGAGAGGCTTGCTTGTTGGTTGATGAGGCCACTGTGGACTTACAAGCCGAGCCCAACTTCCCTCCAAGTTCTGCCTCCCTCCTAGACACCCAGAGCTTCAAACGGGACTTTAGCAACAGCACTGTATTTCAGCCTCTTCCTTCCAATAAACCTTAGCACGTGGCTTAAAGCTGTTGGGCCTCGGTTTCCTTCTCAGGACTCCTCAGTTTCTGAAAAGTGGCCCCAGCTAGAATGTCCTATTAGACATAATGCCTGGCTCCACTTTTTTTTTTTCTTCTCTTTGGTGTTCCAGGCGGCACAGTGGGTTGAGGGTCAGACACACCCACCTCGAGGTCCAGGCTGGAAGCTGATGGAAGCAGACATGGGGTGGCGGGGGAGCCGCACTCACGTTATGCCCTTGGTCTTCGTTGATGACTCTGAAGAGCTGCCATTCACGAGACTGGGATCCTGGTTCTGCACCTTCTTGGTACCCTCAGGAGACGACACGGGGTCCAGCTTGACAGTGGTGGCTGCTATCCGGGGACTCCCGGCACTCTTGGTCACAGACATGACAGCTCCAGAAGGGGCAAGCTCGGGGTAGGGAGAGGGCAATCCGGGAGGTGTGGGTGCAGGTGCAAGCTGGGCTCAGTGGATCTGGCCTCAGAGCTTGCTCTGGCTGGACTGGGATGAGACCACGCCCACCTGCAAGGACGCCCCGCCTCCTCGTGCCTGAAGAAACCCGGGGTAGGAGGAGGAGAGAAAGGAGGGATTTGGGGAGGGAATCCGGAGCTTCATTGGTGTTGCCCAACCACAAGGAAGCAGACAACAACTACAATGCAGCCGATTTTTAATTTTTATTTTGTTTTATTTTATTTTGAGATAGGATCTCATGCAGACCAGAGCGGCCTCTAACTCACTAGAGAGCCAAGGATCACCTCAAAATTTTGATCCTCCTGCCTCTACCTGCTGAGTTGCTGGGCTTACAGACTTGTGTGCCACCACACTTTTTTTTTTTTTTTTTTTTTACACAGTTCTGGGGACAGGACCCAGGGCTTCCGTCATACAAGGCAGTCCACGTCTGAGCCATACTCCTAGCCCAGCCTGATAATGTTAGCGGCTGGAGCTGAACTATTTATTATGCGCTCTCCTTAGGGTCACCTATTTCTGCCTCTGAGAATATCAGATCAGGCTTCCCAGGGGCCCCTAGCCTGCAGAACGCTCTGAAAGGGTAGGAGGTGCAGCCGGCACCTCACCTAGATCAGTTCTCCACTTTCCTCCCAACTCCGCCACCCTTTAATACAGTTCTGCGTGTTGTGGTGACCCCCAACCATAAATTCTTTCCTTGCTACTTCGTAACTGTAATTTCGCTACAGTTATGAATCATAATGTCAATATCTGATATGCAGGCTATCTGATATGGGATCCCCCCAGAGGGGTCATGACCCACGGGTTGAGAACTGCTGAAGAGCATTCGTTGCTTTCTGGATGCTCTGTGGAAAGACAGGGTTTCCTTGGAGATGAGAAGAGACAGTTGCTGAATGATTCCCAGGAGGGTTTTCCTGGGAGGGCCACAGCTTGGGGAAGGGTGTGATTTCCTTAAGGTTACATGTGGCTTTCAGATTAGAGCCCTGGAGCTGGTCTCTGAAGCCTCTTTGATGCTGCTCTCTGTCATTATCTCTGCTCAGGACGGATGAGCCAGCCAAACTTTCCTCCTCCTACAAATTACGGCATTTTTCTCAAGTCATACCCGTCTCCCCACCATCGCCCGTCTCCTCCTCAGAAAGCAGCGTTTACTGAGACCATACTATGTGTAACTTAAAACACCTCCGTGGTAGGAGAGACACTGGAGACAGATTCTGAAGGGCCTGTCCCTTACCGGGGCTCCTTCTAAGCTCCCATGTAGAATTTTGAATTTGTGGTGTGTCTGTGTGTTGTATGGTGCACACAGTGTGTAAGAGGTGGAGGTAAGAGGTGGCCTTGAGGTGCCTTCCTCACTCAATCTCCACCTTTTTTAATAATTTTAGTTTTTGAGACACTATGTAGCCTGTGGCTGTCCTGGAACTCATTCTGTAGACCAGGCTAGCCTTAGGCTCACAGAGATCATCCTGCCTCTGCCTCCCCAATGCTGGGATTAAAGGCGTGTGCCACAACACTGGGTTCCACCTTGTGTTATTTTGAGACATGGTCTCTCACTGAACCTATAGCTCAACAAATCCGGCTGGTGGGCTCCAGAATCCCGCATGTCTCTGCCCCTGGCCCCCAGCAGCAAGATTACAGCCACGTGGAGCTGTGCCTGGCTATCCTGTGGGTTCTGGGGATCAAGCTCAGCCCTCCTGTTCTCACAGGAAAAAACTTTACTGACTGAGCCATCTCCCTAGATCTGGTTTTGTTCTGTTTTCTCTCCTGAAGAGTCTCACCCCAGGCTCAGAGATGGCTCATCAGTAAAGATTCTTTGCTGTCAAGCCCAATAACCTGAGTTCGATCCCTGAGGTTCATTTGGTGGAAGGAGTGAATTGACCCCTGGAAGTTGCCCTCTGACCTTCACAAGCCTTATGTGATCCACAAATAGATAGACAAATGTAATTTAAAACAAACAAACAAACACTACAAAGAGGAGGCTCACCCACCCCTTAATGCTCCTTCCTCCATCCCCAGTGGGCTCCACAAAGCCTGCCTACGTCTCCAGGGGAGCATTGTTGCTTTGATTTTTGGAAACTGCAGCTCCAGAAAAAAAAAAAAAAAAAGGTTATTTTGACATAGGTCACATCCCTTGGCAGAGTCCCTGCTGCTGCCTGGCCAGGTCTCCTTGCATGTCTGCTGCCTGCAGCTTTGATCACAGGCCCTTGGTTAAACGCTGGCAACACCCTTTATGTTCTTGCCCTGAGTCAACTGTGGCTCCGGCTGTGGTTTGCAAAATGTCCTTTCTTCCCTCCTCTGGCACCCTCACACTGTGCTATTCCTGGTCTGTGGAGCAGCAGGCTGCATTCTGGGACCTGCAATTGAGATTCCACGGTTTGATTCTAATTTTAGATTTCATCTTGCCGGTAGAGCTCATCTCCCTCCAAGCATTGTCAGGGGCTTGGGCTGACATCGGTTTTGCTCTCCTCTCAGAACTGATTGGGAATCTGGGGTTGATCCTCAGACCTTTTAAATAGGGGTGGCCAGAATACTGACTGGTGTTTGGTTGGGGTCCCTTCATGGACATCACAGCCACAAGGAACCTTGCTGGCTGGGGTGAAAGTGTACACTCCTGACTTGTGGCACCACTGGTTAGACAAGATGGCGGGATTCCACTATAAACCACTGGGAGTCGGGCAAAGAGCTGGACTCCAATGTGGCACCACCATTGAGAACCTGGGAAGGACACTGTTTCTCTCTGAGCCTCACCCCTTCACAAATGAAGTAGACACCGGAGAGCATAAGACTTCGAAAGGTGTGAGAACCAGAGAGACATGGATAGGGGGTCTCTGCAAAGCCGAGCAACAGGCCTAGCTACTTATGGTGAGGCCTGTGTACTCTGTGTGAGAACAGAGTACATGAGAGCTGAGTAGAAGGGGAGGGGAGTGAATGCAATTCAGTTACACTTTAGAGAGTTGTAAGTATGTGTTTGTGTGTGTGTGTGTGTGTGTGTGTGTGTAGGAGTGTGCCGTGGCATAAGTGTGAAAGGTTAGAGGACAACTTGCAGGAATTGGTTCTTTCTTTCCACATGTGTCTTCCAGGCTTCTGCTCTCGTCTTCTGGCTCGGTGGCAGGTGACTTTACCCTCTGAAGTGTCTTGCTGACCCCAAGTGCAGCCTCAGTGATGCTAGTCTTTAATATTTTTTGTGACACTGTAGAAGTGAGGCACTGTGAGGGGGCTTCTTTCATTCTTGTATGGCAGTTTGAAGCGTAGAGTCTTAGGGTGAACTGAATAGTCTAGGGGGATATTAAGGGATGCAGGGATGGGGGCTTGAAGGGGCTTAGGTTACGGGCTGTGTGTATCCCCTAAATTCGCTGGACTATTTTGAACCTGGCCTTGTGAGATGCACTTCTCTGCAGGGCAAGGGTCATCTCTTCCTTTTAAACTAACATAGGAGGACATCTTCATGGACACAGTGTGTTGATCTGAGATCCGCGTAGACTCCCTGTGAAGCAGCTCAGGGCACTTAGATTGTTCATTGCTTCAAATGTCTATTACTTCTTTGTGATACGACATTAGACGTACTCTCTTGACCAGGTGTGACGAAGCACATCTTGGGGTGGGGGTGGGGCAGTGACAGCCGCAGCTCTGGGCTGGAGGCTGGCCTGTCTTATGTAGGGAGTCCCAGGCCAGCCAGGGTTATCTAATGAGATTCTGTCATTCTTTTTTAAAGTATTCTCTTGTAGCTATCTTACATGATACAATATAACTGACCATTAACATCCTTCTATAACAGAGTCAGAAGTGTATTCCCCTGCTGTTACTTTGTTATCTATTAGCCAATCTCTCTCCCTTGCTCAGCCTCCCCTACCCTACCTGACCTCCACTGACCTCTCTTAGGCTCTCTAGTTTACAGTCCCGTGGGAGGAGTATCTTTCTGTGTCTGATTTGTTTTACTTAACATTATAATCTCCACGTTGCTGCAAACAGCAGGATCTCATCCCTTCTAATGGCCGAATGCTATTCATATATATATATATATATATATATATATATATATATATATATATATATATATATGAATATATGAATAGCATATATATACATATATACACATATATACATATATATGTACATATATCTACATATATACATTTATATATATCATTTATATATGTATATATACCTATACAGACTGCATATGTATATATGTGTAAAGTTTTTGTCCATCCATTCTTTGATAGACACCTTCCTTGACTCCACACGCTGCCTGTTGTGAACAGTGCTACAATAAGTAGCTGTTTAGTGGATTGGAAAACAGAGATGAAGAACTGGGAGCGACTCGCCTGAGATCATATAATCTGGTCCAACGTTAGTGCTTCTTTGGGTTAGAAGCTGGTGACTCCTAAGAGGGAACCCATCACCCCATATTCCACCAGAAAATCCCTCCAGCCTGTAGCCGAGGGTAGCTGCCCCTCTCTCTCTGCACCAGAATAACAACAATCTCATGTATTCATGTCATCCTATACTCCAAGCTCCAGACCAAGGACGTTATTTGAGGTAGGCGGTATCATCATCTCCCATTTGACAGACAGGGAAACCGAGTCTCGGAGGTGTTATTGTATGGTTAAAGTGACCGAGTTAGGACTCCAGGTGAAGCTTTGGAGCGAGCGAAGAACTTTGAGATGTGTCTCTGAAGCATGTGTCTCATTATTCGTCTCTGCCTGGTGCCTTTGAGACACTCAGCCACAACTAAAACCCTTTCTCCAAGCATGGCCTATGTGGTCCAAGGCTGGGGGGCTTCATGGATCACTCAGTTCTCCAAATAAAATTTAAGGGCATGAATGGCCAAGTTATTTATTTTTTTTCCTCTAAGGACCTTTGCATTATTTCCTCCTCCTCTTCTTTAAGAGTTGTTTATTTATACAGTGTTCTGCCTGCATGTGTGCCTG